AAAAAAAAAAATCAAAAAATCAGGGCAGGGCTCTCAGTGACAACAGAGATCCCCAAAATCCCATCAATCTGAGTTCCCAGAGTGTTGAAGGTCAAAATAAAAATAATAAAAATTTAAAAAAAAAAGAAATGAAATAAAATTAAAAAAAAAAAAAGGGGTTTTGTGGCAGGCAGGCACACGTGGGGAGCCCCCTGAGCTCACTTGGTGGCCAGGGTGCTGTGCTGGGCCTGGCAGAATTCTGCCCTGATGCTCAAAATCGCCATAAATGTGCCAAATATCCTCCAACAGAACACCTGGAATGGGAGAAAAAAAAAAGATTTATATTAAAAAAATATATAAGTGAATTAAAGTTCTCATAGTCTTGATCAGTGGTATTGGAATGTTCTATAATAGAACACTTGGAATGGGGGAAAAAACAGAATAATACTGAAAAAAAACCAAATTAATAAAAGTCCTGATAGCCCTGATCACAAATATTGAAATGAACCCAAGTATTCTACAATAAACACCTGGAATGGGGAAAAACAGATTAATATTAAAAATAAATAAATGAATTAAAGTCCTGATAGCCTTAATCAGTAATGTGCTCAAGTATTGTACAATGGAATAGTTGGAATGCGGAAAAAACAGAACAATATTGAAAAAAAACCCAAATTAATAAAAGTCCTGATAGCCCTGATCACAAATATTGAAATGAACCCAAGTATTCTACAATAAACACCTGGAATGGGGAAATACAGATTAATATTAAAAATATATAAATGAATTAAAGTTCTCATAGTCTTGATCAGTAATATTGGAATGTGACCAAATATCCTCTAATAGAACACTTGGAATGGGGGAAAAACCAGAATAATACTGAAAAAAAACCCAAATGTGAGGAATTCCCAGAGGGGAAAGGGAAAACAGGGAATGAAAATGTGAGGAATTCTCAGTTCCACCTGCTGTGGGTAAAGGAAAAACAAGGAATGAAAACTTGAGGAATTCCCAGTTCCACCAACTTTGGCTCAATCCAAAAACCAGCCCAGGGGAAAGGAAAACCAAGGAATCACACCATAAGGAATTCCCAGAGGGTGAAGAAAAAACAGGGAATGAAAACCTGAGGAATTCCCAGTTTCTGTAGCTCAGGACTGAGCCAAAAACCAGCCCAGGGGAAAGGAAAAACTGGGAACGAAAATGTGAGGAATTCCCAGTTCCACCTGCTGTGGGTAAAGGAAAAACAAGGAATGAAAATTTGAGGAATTCCCAGTTCCAGGACCTCTGGACTGAGCCAAAACCAGCCCAGGGTGAAGGGAAAACAGGGAATGAAAACTTGAGGAATTCCCAGCCCAAGGTAAAGGAAAAACAAGGAATGACATTGTGAGGAATTCCCAGAGGGTGAAGGGAAAATAGGGAATGAAAACGTGAGGAATTCCCAGTTTCTGTAGCTCAGGACTGAGCCAAAACCAGCCCAAGGGAAAGGAAAAAACAGGGAATGAAAAGTTGAGGAATTCCCAGAGAGAAAAGGGAAAACAGGGAATGAAAACTTGAGGAATTCCCAGTTCCAGGGGTTTCCATCCAGGATTCCCTGCAGAGGTCACCGGGATCCTGTCCCAGACCCCCCGGGCACAGGGTGCTCAGCACTCCCTGCTCATTCCTTACTCAGAATTCCCAAAGGATCCTCGGGAAAAGCCGGGAGCAATCCCAGCTTGGTTCCTCTCATGGACAATCCATGAATTCACCGGCAGTGAAATCAGCACCGCAATCGGATCCCATTAAATTTCCATCCTGACCCGTCGGGGTTTGGGATTTTCCTGCCACTCTGCCCATGTCAAGTTTTTACTTCCCCTTCCTGAAAATTCCCCATTGGAGTGACCCCTCCTCTATCCCCTCTCCACCAAAATATTTCATCTGAACATTTCCCGAGTGAAAGAAGTCAGAGAACTCCAAAAACGAGCCCGAAATCAGCCAGAACCTCAAAATATATATATATTTTTTTTTTAATTTTTTTTTTTTTTTAAATACCCTCTCCTAGCACACGGAGGAAAAACCCTGGAAGGAAATGAACTCCTTGGAAACTTTTTCTGAAAGAAGCTTGCTCAGACTGACACGTGCCCAAAGAGGGGTGAGGTCAAAAAAAAATTTCACTGTCCCACCCTGTCCACCCCCGCGGGCGGCTGCAGCTCCTTCCCAGTCCCTCCCAGTTCCCTCCCAGTT